AAAGCAACTAGAACAGCTGTGGGAGAAAGTGATTTTTGGATAGATTGAAGGGACTTTTCTATTCGCCATCTACAGGGGACTTAGCCCAGGTTTAACTGTACTTAATTTGGTGATCCAAAAACAGTATTGTGGGGAACTTCTAAATTGTAGACTAAAAACTAACAATTAAGTAGTCAAATGACTGCCCTGCCTCTGCTTGTCAGATTTCAGTCTCGTGCTCAGCCTTGATATACAGCAGTGGTTCCCAACCTTTCTCAACTACTCTATCCCTTTCAGGAGTCTGATTTCAGCTCTGCTTTCGGCAGGGCTTTCGCTGGAGCTCCAGGAGGCAGGGCTTGGACTTCAGCATGTATCTTAGCTTCACGGGGCCCTTTCTTGCCACCCCCTAATGCAGGCCCTGCATTTGCAGCCACCCTAAACCCATCCTCTGGTTGAGAAACATTGATACTGTAGATAGAGTAATATAAAGAAGTCATTGCCTATATGAATTTTTAGCTTGTACTGACTTCGCGAATGCTTTTTATGTAGCCCGTTGTAAAACTAGGCAAATATCTAGATGAGTTGACATACCTCCTGGAAGATCTCTATTGCTGCCCCCCACTCCACTACTAGGGTTATGTGTACCCCTGGTTGACAACCACTGCTATATAGTATCATGAAGTCTTACAGTGGATATAGCCAGCTCACATTTAAAAAAAACAAAACAAAACAAAAACAAAACAAACAAAAAAAACCACCACAACTTAACACCTAAATAACTATACTAAATTTGATAAATTCCACATTACTGTACCAGAAATTCAGAATTAAGAGTTTTCACTTCTACAATACCTTATGTGCTGGGAAGGAGGGAAGGTGAGGGTCTTGAATCAAAACTTTAATTTCTCTCTCCAAAAGAAAGGTGTTAACTAAGCCCTAAAGAAACCTGTCAGCTTTCTGTCCAGGGCACACTTGATGAAAGCCTATTAGATTATTTGAATTTTAAAGGCAACTTGCAAAGGACAGACAAATGGGTTTTGTGGCCTTTTTAGCTTCTTTATGGTACATAAAGGCAGCCTAAGAGGCTTGGTTAAAATATTCTGCTTGTTTTCTACACGAGAAATGCAGACCACATCTGCCCTGGAGAACTCTATGGTGGTGGTAGAACTACTAAAATAACATCAAAAGAGACTAAAAGTGGGGAGACTTCAGTTTGGCTATTTAAAATGTAGGTTTGTTTTTGCTACTACCTATTTTAACTCCTGTGTCTATTCAGTATTTGGGACAAAGGCTGTCTTTGTTAAAGATTCACACTCTCCTCTTCCTCCTTTTTCCCCCGCCCCTTCAATTAATGTGTATGAGCTCACAACAAGTACCGGAGGCAAGCCCCCACTCCCCTGCCTCCCTGTGCCAAGATTAGGAAAGTCAGATCCAGCATTTCCAATCTTTTCAAAAGGTAAAGGCCGTCTACATTGGCAACTGAAGGACAAAATAGTGTTAAAAAAAAAAAAAACCCCTCGAAAGACAAAAGTTTTGCCAACGAATAGCGCTTTACCCACAGGAGAACTCTCCTGCTGACAGGGGTGCGAGTTTTGTCAGCAGAAACACAGACTTTTCACTGTGCCGGGGGTGGGGGGGGAGTGGTGGTGGTGCTCGACCCCCCCCCCAGCTCTACCCTGGCCCCGCCCCCACTCTCACCCTTTCCTCACGGCCACACCCCACCTCTTCCAACCCCCTCTCCTGAGGGGACCATGTTCTCCCTCTTTTCCCCTCCCCTCCCAAACAGCTGATTGTGGTGGGCAGAAGGCACAGGGAGAGAGGGGGAGGTGCTGATCCATGGTGCCTGCCAGTGGGAGGGAGGGGAGGGGAAGGTGCCGATAGGGGGACTGCCGGTAGGTGCTCAGCACCCACCATTTTTTCCCCCCCGTCAGTGCTCCAGAGCACCCATGGAGTCTGCGCCTATGGGTGGGAGAGCTCTCTCCTGCCAACAATCAGCAGCTACACTGCGCGCCTTTTAGTGGCGCAGCTGTAGCAGCACAGATGAGAAGAACACTCAGAGCTGGTGGAAAGAGTGCCTCTGAACACTGGTTTGCATCCTTCCAGCATTGTACCTTGGAATGACAAAGATTCAAAAGTCTGCCAGTGACCTTGTCCCTCAGGGCCTTTGCCATCCAATATACTAGCCTTACCTGCAGACCAGGAATAACAGATCATGGTTAAAAAATAAGAACCCTCGAGCTGTGGATAAGTTCCATGAGACCACTGAAGTTTCAAAGCCACTATACACCATTCATATTGTGCAATTAGAGTAGCGTGCATTCACAGGAAGTGTACAGAATGAAGATATATGTTATACACAAAGTGTACAGTGCTGTCTTTGGTTCTGAACATTACAAACGGGCTATTTTGAAAAAACAAAAACAAAGCCATGAGCCCATGTTAAGAGCTAGAGTGATTAAGAAAATTTAAGTCATCTTAAATTAGTATGCAAAAAGACGCATCTGAACCCACAAAATGCTTTCAGTTTATTTAAACGTTAACAAATCAACTAGAAGGAAAAAGTTGCTACTACCCACTCTGATGGTTCACTCCAGGGGGAAAAAATTATGGCAGAGTTATAACTCCTGAAAACAGAAGTGTGTAATGGAAATACTAGACCTATAACTAGCCACATTAAAGTATGTTGCAATAAGTTAGACAGTAAAAGTGTGAAGTGTAACTAGTTTTTATAAAACTAAATTCCAAAACAACGTCCTTTCTATGGTGATTACAAAGTGTACATATTGGTGCAGACTTTTAAACTATACATTGGTTTGCTCTGCAACTCCTACAGCTTGGTGATCGAGTGGTCAATTGCAAATTCATGTAAAGCTAGGTTTCAGAGTAACAGCCGTGTTAGTCTGTATCCGCAAAAAGAAGAATAGGAGTACTTGTGGCACCTTAGAGACTAACAAATTTATTAGAGCATAAGCTTTCGTGGACTACAGCCC